GTGCAGTTGGAATGCTAGCTCACTATTCAAGATGGATCCCTCAATTTTCTGAAAAAGTACACAGATTAGTTAAATGCAAAACATTCCCAATTCCTCCAGAAGTTGTTTCTGACTATGAAAAACTGAAACAAGAGATAGCTCAGTCTGCTATTAATACTATTGATGAATCTATCCCATTCGTAGTAGAAACTGATGCATCACAGAATGCACTTGCAGCGACTCTTAGTCAAATGGGTCGTCCAGTTGCTTTTTTTTCACGATCGTTATCAGACAGTGAAAAGAGACACTCGATAATAGAAAAGGAAGCAGCAGCTATTGTCGAGGCAGTCAGGAAATGGAGACATTTCTTAGTTGGACGGCATTTCAAGATTGTGACAGATCAAAGGTCGGTGTCATTTATTTTTGATCAAAAACACAGTAGCAAAATAAAGAATGAGAAACTTCAACGATGGAGGCTAGAACTGTCTTGTTTTAGTTTTGACACTGTCTACAGGCCTGGTATTCAAAATACAGTCGCTGATGCCTTCACTCGACTCTGCAGTTCGATGCCAAATCAAAGTTTAATTGACTTACATAAGTCACTATGTTATCCAGGCGTTACTCGAATGGTGCACTGGGTCCGAACCCACAATCTTCCTTACTCAGTCGAAGATGTGCGAAAAATGACTGCAGGCTGTCCACTATGTGCAGAGATCAAACCAAAATTCCTGAAAACTTCTAGTGGACATCTCATCAAAGCTATGGCCCCATTTGAGAGGCTTAATATGGATTTTAAAGGGCCAATCCCTTCAGTAACAAATAACACCTATATTCTAACTATAGTTGACGAATATTCACGTTATCCTTTTGCACTCCCCTGTCCTGATATGAGCTCAAGAACTATTATCAAACAACTTCACAAAGTCTTCAGTATTTTTGGTACACCATCATATATACACACAGACCAGGGTAGCGGTTTTATGTCGGTAGAACTAAAATCATTTTTACATAATTTGGGAATAGCTACAAGTCGTGCAAGTCCATATAACCCACGTGGAAATGGGCAAGTTGAACGATTCAACGGAGTAATATGGAATACTGTTCAGCTAGCATTGAAATCAAGAGGGATGAAAATAACTCAGTGGGAAAGTGTTTTAGATGAAGCCCTTCATTGCATCAGATCCCTCTTATGCACAGCTACGAATTGTACACCGCACGAAAGAATGTTTAAACATCAAAGAAGATCTAGCAATGGAGAAACTATCCCTACTTGGCTGACTATTCCAGGAAAAGTTCTTATGAAGAAGCACATAAGAGGCAGTAAGTTTGACCCACTGGTCGAAGAGGTTGAAGTAATTGAGACAAACCCAAAATATTCTTTAGTCCGCAATAAAGAAGGAAGAGAATCAATTGTGTCCTTAAGATATTTAGCACCAAGAGGAAATGTAATGCAAAATCCAACAAATTTTACTTATGAAAACGAAGACGGTGATGAACAGTTGGAACAGAACACTACCTCGTCAAAATCGCTCCTTCTGGAACAGAACACTACTTCGTCACAACCGCTGCTTCAAAACTATACAGATTTATGTTTACCACCAGCAACGTCAGATGGTGTTCCTGAAAATGATGAACATCAAACCAGCAGCGCTCCTTGCAATCAACCTCATCCACCACGTCGGTCAACCAGACCAAAGGTGTTACCTAAGAAATTCGATGTGTATAAAATTTACTAGAGCGGAAGAATGTGGTGATATTCCAAGTACTGTACAAAATGTCAGCTGACATTCTTAATGTTTTAGTCAGATTTGTTTATTTATTCTGTTTAATTCTTGTATTCAGTTTTGCTTAATAAAACCTAAGTTTTATTCTCTAAAGGTTTATTACACTGGGTACGCCCTTGGATGTTCATATAAACCTATGCTTCCATTTAAGATGCTCTCTGTATACATAAACTAAATTACCATAAAACTACTCAACAATATTTGAACAGCATTAAAATTTACACACCATACACGATCATAATTTAAATCTGTAGTTAAACCAAGTGAAGTGTTTTTAAAATCACATTGGATATAAAGGGGGGGGGGGGGGTAGGAACAGGTAAAACTAAATCATGTCCAGTCCAACCTTTATTCAAATGCATTATTTAACTGGGATTTTGTGGTTTTAAACCTAGTTATCCTCAAAAAGTTGTTTTGGACTTTGGCCTTGCTTGTACAAGACAACTCTAACTGATAATGATCAGTTTTATCAGCACTGAAATATTTTCTAGGACTTTCTTACATTATATGTTATTACATTTTCTGTTTAATATACAATATATGTTGCAGACTAACTTCGGCTCAAAAGTTTGGGTGTTTTGCAATTATTATTTTTATAAATAGCTTTTATTTAGCGAAATCAGGTAACTTATTTAGAGGTAAATTATTTCAACTTGTTGGTATTGTACTGATTGAGTTGTATGTTTTTTAGTTAAAAATAGAACTGTTACTGCTTATTTAGTGCCCAGTCCTTACTGGGTTAAAAAGACTGTCTCATTTATACTTAATTCATAATTCATAACAAGCAAAAAAGCAAACACATTTAAAATAATTATAATTTTTCTAGCTTCTAGAACTTCTGGCTTATAATCTTGTGCCAGTATGCAGTGGCATATTATAATTTGTTTATACATCCCTATATATAATACGTGAAGGCGATTTCTACGAAACACTACCTACTCCTCCGTTAATAATGGACGGATTTTCACAAACGACATGTCAAAATAAAGTATTTTTTGTCTAGACGCCCCCTTTCACCAATTCATGTAATAAAAATCCTCAGGCTTTGCCCCACAGGACATCAAAGTTGGAGTTTCTCCCATAAGATTAACATGGGTGAATCTAAATATTTAATTGGAAACTTTGTCCCCAATAATTTGAGAGAACGGCTGGACGTAGAAACTTGATAGAGGTGTCCAAAGAAAGGTCTTGGTCTGTAGATGAGTTATCAAAAGAAAAACTAAGCAAAATCCCTTAGGATTCTGCCCCAGAAGCCTTTAAAGATCCCTCCTCAGAGTTGTTTACATTTTGGCCATATGAATAACTTAATACTTTTTAATGAAACAGCTGTTAATTTTTAAATTGTATTTCAAACAACACATATTTATTGGAAGTTACTGAATTCTACCAAATAAGTATTTGCAATGTTATTTTCTGATTTTCAAATTGATTTTCTTCTTTATCATGTCATGTTTTGCAATATAATGTTCCATTACGAAATCAGTGGAAAACCCTTTTACGGTATCACAGCAATTCATAAATTATTTCTTATTGAACTAGCTTATATCAATTGTACGGGTTGGTGTCTGCCTTTTTCACCACTTTTGCCTACATTTTATCATACACATATCAAATATTTATGTAGAAATATCCGCTCTTATCGTGTCTAATAAAATCCAATTATAGAAACCTTGCCTAAAATGGTACCCATCTTGACAAATTATTTGCACCTGCCTATATTACGGACTTTGGCGCACTGGGTTGGTAACATTATTGAAAATAACACGACATTTTGGCTGTAAAATATGGTACAAAGAGAAAATACTATTTAAACAGCTACTGTCATGACAGAAAGGTCATATTCCTTTTAAACTAGATCACATAATCCTTTATAAGATACGTTTGATTAACAATATGTAAACGTCAATATATACGTAACAGCCAATTTACAGTATTTTTGCTTTTTGGAAATGTGTCATTGCTATGTCATTTGCATTATTTGTTGCCAATGAAGCCGCCAAGACCATATGAACTAGGAGGCCCCTAACAGTTCAAGAATAAAAGCCAACTTCAAGTATTCCACTACACCTAACATTCCGTAGAGAGATTATATTGACAACTTTATGTTATTGATAAGGCTGAGACAAATAACTGACATCCCCATGTGAAGGAATTCCAGCTTTAACAGTAACCCCACAATCAATTTCTCAAAACCATGAGAGGGTTCATTCATTGGCACAGAAGTACGATATGAACTGACGCGACGTGACGAAGGAAAAATCAAACTTGCACTTTAACGGATATACCTCCCTTTGAAGTTAGAATATGTCTTCTCTAAGGATATTTTCTTTCCAAATTAAATCATATTACACTGATGAAATCACAAAAGTGTTTAACTACAAAAGATCCACCAATACGATTTTAATAGTATTTAAAGGTTCTTCCAAAGGAAGAGATACCATATAACATACTAATAATAACTCCAATGACGTACAGTATAGGAAATATTTTAATCATTGAATGATCAACCAAACTTTTGGCAACTAACGCAATTAATATAATTATTGTTTTTACACTTATTACTCTTCAAACAATGCTAAAGGCTCAAAATATGTATATTTCACCCAACTTATCGCAGTTAGATGAGTTAACGTAAGCCTTGAAAGTAACCGTCGATTTCGACGGGTTTCACCTAGTTTAATATATTGTTGGAAAGTATGGAATAAATTTATGAGGCACTGAGAGAGAAGGCAAACAATTAGGTTGTAAACCTAAATGAGAAGTTAATTGAATTGAAAGCATTTTTCTCAGCCTCCTAGGTTCAATGCCAGCACCAGAGGTTATTCTGATTTCTCAAACCCATACTCACTCAGTGAAAGGAGAAAGAAGTAAAGGCTAGAGTGTAATCGCCATGGTTGTAGGACATAAACCATTTAGTTTGTCAGGCATAATGGCAATGAAGGTGGGGGATTTTATTGAATATTAATATTTTCATGTTGGCAGCTTTTTAAAAATGCTCAGATAGGCTATTGAGAGGTATCCTTCAATCTTATTTTGTCTATGAGCCGGCATTTAAGAATCATTCGGGTTACGGTATGGCATTGAGCCCTTGCCGATAAACAAGGCTTGTTGTACCACTACAGAAAATGTTAATGCAATAGCCTAATTTTCACAACCTATACATTTGAAAAAAATTAAATTAACTTAACAAATTTATTAAATTAGGTACGGTATTACGAGGCAATAAACTGGTAACAGATTGTTTGCAGTGATGGGCAGTCGAAGAACACCTTACACAGTGACTCGCTCTATTTCTCCTACCACTTGCTGTTGCCTTCATCTCAGATTTCTGCAGACTGTGCCAGGGACGCTCAAGCTGGCTCAACTGGTAAGTGCCGTTTATAAAATTCTAGGATAGAAAATTACAATTTTTCAGTACTGTTGTTGATGATATAGGTATAAAAAACAGAACTAGAAAACATAAAGCACATCTTCAAACTGTAATTACATATATATTTTTTTGAGGCCCTAAAGAGCCATTCTCAAAGAACCAGCCATAAAAACCTTGTGTATGTATTATTCCTGCCATAAAAACCTATTCGGACAATTTAAGTTGCTGAATGGAAAATTTAATATCAGAAGTTTAAAAAAGAATAAAGATAAGTTTCATATAACTGCCTACAATACAATACACCATAACAATACCCCCGCCGCAGCAAACCTGCCGACTAAGCGAATTTCCAGTTGCCTGAATTGATTTTCAATTAAATGTAGGCCTATTTAATTAACATTAGATTTATGAGTAAATAGGCTTGCTGCTGCAGGGAGGGTTAAAAGGGTGTTTTTAGTAAAATATTAATAAATTAGTATAAAATAAAAAAATTAAAAAAGTTTTATCAAAAAAGCAAATGATAAAGTTTTGTTAGTGTAAGCAGTGCGAGACATGTTTTCTACTGTAAACATAGCTAAAATAAGTCACTCTAATATCATTCTAAAAATAACACAAGACTTAATACCCCTGCCGCAGCAAACCTGCAGACTAAGCAAATTTCAACTTGTCTGATTACATTTTTACTTTCTCCCCCTATATCATAGTAAATGGAGAAAGTATTGTTTTTGTCAAAATTTTCGAGTTTGAGTTTTGAGTGGATATATTCGTTTTGGGTCCCCCTGGACCCAAAAAAGTGGTTTTCGAAGTGATGTCTGTGTGTGTGTGTGTGTCTGTGTCTGGATGTGTACAGAGCTAGAGACTGCACCTGTGGTCCAATTTTGATGAAATTTGGTACATATGTAGGTTCTAATCCATGGTATCTCCAGGCGTTTTTTTCATTTTTTTAAAATTATGATTTTTAATGGGGATTTTCCCATAAAAACCGGAAAAATCAGATTTTCTCAAAAAATGGCCCGAACGATTTTGATAAAAATTTAGTATGTTGTAGCCCTTTAAATTCTGAACGAAATGGTACAAATCCCATTTCTGTAAAAATTACGGTTCAAAAGTTATGGTAAATTATGTTATTTTCCCATAAAAGAACAAAAAATAGGATTTTAGACAAAAATCCGATTTTGATTTAACATAGTATTATATGGTCCTTAAAATTTTGATATTTTTTTTAATTTTTTAGAAATTTTTTTTAGTGGGGATTTTCCCATAAAACCCCATAAAATAACGGAAAAATAGGATTTTCCCAAAAATGGCCCGAACGATTTTGATAAAAATTTAGTATGTTATAGTCCTTTATATTCTGAACAAAATGGTACAAATCCCATTTCTGTAAAAATTACGGTTCAAAAGTTATTGTAAATTATGTTATTTTCCCATAAAAACCCCATAAAATAACGGAAAAATCAGATTTTTCCAAAATTGGCTCGAACAATTTTGATAAAAATTTAGTATGTTACAGTCCTTTAAATTCTGAACAAAATTGTTCAAATCCCATTTCCGTATATTTACTTTCACCGCTTACACATGATGAAGGTTGTTGACAAACTTATGGGAGAAAGTATGTGTAAAGCCCCGTTTCCATCAAACATTTTCTGCTCAAAACATTGTTGTCAGCTAAACTCACAACAAAGTTGGAGTAAAATGTTGAATGGAAACACTAGCATAATGTTTTGAGCAGTGTTGGCCAACAAAAAGTGTTGGCAGCCGTTGCAGCTGACAACATTGTTGTGAGCTGTGCTCAAAAGGTAATGGAAACGGTGTCCAGCTGCCAACATTGCTGTGAGCAGAACTCGCGCATGCGCACTTGCTCTGTGAGTAGTTCCAACACATCCACCGCAGCACCATAGCACATCTAGCCTAGCAGACGGGTTAAACACCAACAACACCACGTGTTTTTGTTTATGGTGTAAACATTCTTGTGTCGTGGTCGTGTCGGTGTATCTTGTTGTGCTGGGCTTTTGGACGGTATAGTGAGGCCATGGCGATGTCAAGTCAAGATTGGGGAAAAGACGAAGTGTTAAAGTTGATATCTTTGTATGAAAGTGAGACAGTGTTGTGGGATCAGCAAGCACAAAAACTCTAATAAAAGGAGTGATGCCATCCAAGTATCTTAATGTAGCTGCTAACATTTCGCCAGCTGATATGGGACTGCGCTCACCATGTTTAGCGATTAGAGGAGCCACCAAGTTTAGTAATTCTTCAAAGTCAGTTGCCGTAATTCGTACAAAATTTTGGGATCCTGCTCGAAGTCTTAAATCCCTCATAAGGGAGTTGTAGGCACCTTCAACGGCCCTTTTAGCCAAAAAACTCCTAACCTACCATCGCGGTCGCTTTCTGCGTTTTAAACTAATTAATTGGTGATATGCACCAGCCATTACGACGAAAGCAGCAGCAGCAGTCTCTTCGCTCTCCATGATGAAGGTGCACTGGTGTTGGTGTAGGTAGGTGTGTGGGTGTGGATGGTAGTGAAATGTGCTCGCAGTAGGAGGAGGGGTTGGCGGGAAATGTTGGCGCAAAATGTTGGCGCGTACTGCTGGAATGGAAACAGCGCGCCAACATTGTTGGGAGCTGTGCTCAAATCAACTTGAACTTAGCTCCCAACATTGTTGGTACAAAATGTTTGATGGAAACGGGGCTTCAGAATGCTGATACCGTTTATTTACTACAATATTTCCATAAATAAGACATATTTATTCCCAATTTAAATAACATTAGATTTAATGAGTGTTTAGGTTTGCTGCTACGGGGAAGGTAAAAAGTGTTTTTTGACCATACGTCAATGGTATAGGATGAAATAAATAAATTTGCCAAATTTTATCAATATATGTCCATAAACAAGTAAACTACAACAGTTTTCATATTCTCCATAAGAATATCATGGGAATTTTAAATTACACTATTTTTGAATTTTCTCCGTGACTGTTAGGCAAACAACAGCGCTTCAATATACTACATTATTTCTTTTTTTAAGCTCTACAAAACGGTTTAAAAAGAAATTCAATTTTTTTTTGTTTTTAGGGTCAAAAATGGGAAAACCCCATTTTTATCCCATAAAACCCCCCATAAACCCCTGTTCCCATGGTCCGATTATAATGGTTCGCAAACTCGTTAGAATAAACGTAGGTTTACACGTTTGTACCAAATTTCATCAAAATCGGATGATTTTTGCTCGAGTTATCACGCTAACGGACACATATATAAATATACAGGGTGATTGATTTAAGTGTGCCAGCCGTTTTATTCGAAAACCATAAGAGATATCAAAAAAAGTTAAAAGGTAAGTGCCTTGGACTTTTTATTTAAAAAATTGTAGTAAAGCCAAAAAAATTATTTTAGCCGCCATTTTTCCAATATGGCCGCCAACTTTGATTTTTCGTATGGAATACCCTGTATTTTATGATGTATTCTGGTAGAAAATGTAATTTTAAGACGATTTTATTCTTGTGATTTTTTCATAAACCTAACCCTTTCAAAGATAATCTTTACTTATTTAATACGCAAGCAGGTTTTTTTGTGACAATTACTCCTCCGAAACTACTGAACCGATTGACATGTTTCTGGTGTCATTGGAAAGAGCAAAACGTGAAGTTGTGCAGGAAACTTTCTTTTTAGGGGAATAATCTTTAAAGTTTCTTTCTCAATAAGATTAACATGGGAACACATTGTTATGTAACTCCAGCTGTTGTCAGAAATTAAAAGTGAGAAGAACATGTTAATTGTAAACAGTCAATAAGTTTGCTAATTTAACAGTTTGCTACATTTACTGAATTGGTTGAAATGAAATATTTACTATTTGAATTCGGGTTGGCGTAAATATTACAATGGAAAAAAGCCAGAGAGCCTGGATAAATTGATATAATCTGTTATGTACATCTTGAGTATTACCATAATCTTTCAAGTCGAATCATGAGAAATTATGACTGTTATTCGTTTTAAAATAACACCTGTCATACTTAGCAATTGCTCGAATTCGAGCAACAGGGACACTAGTAATGGTTTAAGTTGTGAAATTTTGAATGGTTTTCGAATAAAACAGCTGGCATGCTTGCTTAAGCCTTTGTGGAAACTCTTTCTCATGCAGAAATTTCAAAACTTTGACCATTATCATAGACTAACCAACACAAGTAGACTTCTCATCCCATTGTAAATTTTGAAGCACGTTTTTCGTGTCTAGTTCATGTACGTGACACATGGGCGCTAGTGTTGACGAAACTTTGTTTATATTATTTTAGGGTTAATTTCTTGATTTGTGCTTTACTGTTTGGTTATATAACTAGGGGACAAGTTATTGTTTATGATTAGATCGTATTATTTGGTTAAACGAGGTTTTAAATGGCTGTAATAACGGGAAACAAATTGTAAACAAAACACGACATCTGCAGAAAACCGTACAGAACTAACAATAAAATTGTCTTCAGCTGTTCCATAAGGATGAGAAATCTACTAAGGGAGTATGTTTTATCTATGCCATTATTATCTTTGAAACGGTTAGGTTTATTAAAAAAATTACAAGAATAAAATTGTCTTAAAATTACATTTTCTACCAGTATATATCATAAAATACAGGGTGTTCCATAAGAAAAATCAAAGTTGGCGGCCATATTGGAAAAAATGGCGGCTAAAATAATTTTTTCGACTTTACTACAATTTTTTAAATAAAAAGTCCAAGGCACTTACCATATAACTTTTTTTGATATCTCTTATGGTTTTCGAATAAAACGGCTGGCACACTTATATCAATCACCCTGTATATATATATATATGAATTTGAACGGATGGTGTTTTTGGCCTCTAGGGACCTCAAAACGAAAACTTAAATCGGTCCTGGGTCCATGAGTACTACAGTAATAGCTTATTCCCTATATGGGAAATTCGCTAAAAATTGTGACTTGATACTTAACTAAGTTTAGTAATACTGTACTGTTGTTTTAGACTTATAAATTTTAACATTTTGTAAAGTTGAACTATATACTAACTGATATCTCCATGTTTCCTATGCCGAAGAGTTATTTTTAATAAGTTAGGCCTTAATTTTTTTTATACTGATGTTTTTATTAATGTTGTTTAATAAAAGATTTTAAATATTTTTGTCTATTATTATTATTTTTGTATTCAACCAGTCTGTCATAAATTAGTACATATTTAAACATGTTAAAAATTCAGGTTAAAATGTGGAATGTGCATTTCCCGTTATGTATGAGAAGGGGAATCCCGTCTCGATCTCTTCTCAAAATTTTATGAGAAATAAAAAATCCCGTCTCATCTCGTCTCAAACTAAAAATCCAATCTCGTCCATCCCTAATATTTATGTTAATGTAAATGTGCAATTTGCGCATGAGCCCCCCCCTTAAACATTTTATCTGTTTGCACTAAATGATGATATTTTGTGGCAGATGATTGGCAGTGTTTGTGAGGCCTTGTTGGTGAGTTACGGTCGTGATGATGTCAATAAACCCATGATTGGTCCAGCAATCTTGACCTTCCTCAACACAGTATCGAGTTGCATCTGGACAACTACGTTGCTCATGACCTGTTATATCATCTCACAGAACTCCTATGGCCTCATTAGATCATCTTTGCTGGTTAGATTACTTTTTACGATTTGAAAATATGTTATGTTTGATATAGGTATTCTAATAAATGTAATTAAAAATACCCCCGCCGCAGCAAACCTGCCGACTAAGCAAATTTCCATTTATCTGTGTTTTTAAGTCAAATATTAATAGCTTAGTATAAAATAAATAAACTTGCTAAGTTTGATAAAATTATATTCATAAACAAGCAAACTACAAAATTTTACAATATTCTCCATAAGAATAAGATAGAAATTTTAAATTTACAATTTTTTGAATTTTCTCCATTACTAATAACCATATTGTACAAAAATACTTTGATATGCTAAATTATTTTCCTACAGTTACCTAACAATGTACATGTTCTCTCACTGATTTGAGAAAGCAAAGTGGCCAATTCGCTCATCAGTGAGACAATGTTCACATTGTCTCACTCTAATTACTTTGTCTCACTCCAGATTTGCAACGTGAAGGCACGAAATAGTGAGCGCGTAACATGCAGGCAACGTCATATGCGCGCGAAATACGTTGGCAGCACTGGCTGTAAATCAGCTGGTCAGCTGTTGTACTATTGTATTTGTCACTTCACATTAAATGTTATATTAAAAGTTCACTTCTGTGTAAAAATAGGTTATGTTTCTTCACTAATTTATTTGTTTTATGGTAACTGTAGGAAAAGTATAATGTGCAACTCGAGTGCAAAGTACAATTGCCTCACTCGAGAAACCATTCCTCACTCGCCTACGGCTCGTGAGTAAGGATTTCTCTCGAGTGAGTCAATTGCTCACTTTTCTCACTAGTTGCACAAATAACTATTGTTTTTTAAGCTCTTTAAAAAGGTCTAGAGAGAAATTGGGAAATTTTGTGTTTTGAGGGTTAAAAATGAGAAAACCCATTTTTACCCTCAAATCAGCTTAATTTTTCCAACTTGTTCAGTTGAGCTAAAAATAACTACTAAAGACCCTCTTACTTTCAGGAACTGATGTTCAGCTTACTTGCTACACTGTCTCTGTGTAGTAGCTCAATCTATATGTGTGCTTCTGTGTCACTCATCCTCTATCCTCTTTATGAAACTACTAAAGTAGTAACCATGGGCTTGGCTGTCACTCACTACCCTGCCATCATGGCATCTTATGTAAGTATTTAAACACAAAAACTCAACTATTTCACAGTTAACTTAAAACACATTCTAATGTCACTTTTAACCAACTGGTTATTAAGTGAATTAATTATGCTTATTTGTATGGTATCTAAATCATGCCTTTGGCTAATTTGATAAACAAAATTTCATATTATTTTGGAAAAGGTTTCTAGTAGACAAAAATACAGTTGGAAGGTGGTACCAAAAATACCTTATTTGTTGTGCAACTCACTAAAAATCCACCTATCATCCCTATTGTCAACGTTCATCTTTTCAGTTGGCTTCTCCCACCAAGCTCTACCACAAACGGTTGAATTTCTTATAAGTGGCACACCCTTTGAGCTAGGTATACACAAACAAAACAATTAGGTGGCGTAGTCTCTGGATCACTATGATTATTACAGTTGTAAGTTATATTATCTTTTGTATCCCCAAGTGATGAAAACATGGAACACAGACGAAAAAATTTAAAAGATAGCATGGCCACAATCTAAGAACAAACACAAAAGTTCAATCATAATACTGGATCACGAGTCCTGCGTTGTGATGTATTGTAGTTGATCCCATCTATATCAGCTGTTCTTTTTACTTTCTTCCCCTATTACAATATATTAGCTTACCCCGTCGTCGGCTTTTTTGCTCACAAAATTTTTAGTTAATGGTATGTGACCCCTTAAGTTAAACCTCAGAGTAATAATACACATAAGTTTTAAGTATTTACTCTGAGGTTAAACTAAGACAGAACTTCTTCATTTACAAAACTGCTCTCTCTGTCACCACCTACATAATATTTTTTGCTAGAAAACAATTCCCGCTGTATCTCCTTTCACATGGGTTTACTTGCTTAAACCTAATTTTCCAATAGTACTGTCAGATCTCCCAAAACTGTATTGGAAAGTTTTATGTATCTTAAAGTAACATAAAAACCTTGCACGATATTTTATTGTAGTTCTAATATAACCGTCAAAGGCCCCAAACAGCTGTAGGTCTACAGTGTCTATGATGTTTTTACCAAGCAGAATGTACTCACATATAAGTGGCTTTTCTCACCTCTCCAGTAAAAGTAATTATTAACACTCAATATCAATCATACATTACTCAAAAAAATAAAAAGCTAATACTTTTAACATAATATGCCAAAAAGGTGAACTGGGATTGTAAAGGAACATAGGTACTCATCTGAAATTGCATGAGGTGCCGTTTTTATTATAGAAGGGAAAGGAAGTGATTAAACTTATCAAGCTTTTCTGATCTTTTCTATTGAGCACCAATTATAAAGTAGTGATAGAAGAAGGCTGATGTTATCCCTCAAAATATTAGATGAAACTTGATTGCATATAATCGTTCCTTTGACATTGATATTCTGAATAATACACTGTTATTTAGTTACTGGGGGTTGATCTTAAAACCATCAACAAATAGTGTACATATCATGATTTTTAAATCCATTTAACAATTACAAAATGTTTTACGCAATAAAACACCAATTTTCAAGCTATAAAATAATGTAAATATTTCCATTTTGATCAAACAACCAGCTGTTCTCTTAGTTAATAGCATAAAATAAAAATATATTCATCTTTTCAAATGTAAACAAACCTTTTCTCCCATAAGTATAACACGGGAACTTAAGAGGCCACTGGGTTCCTGATGGAATTTCTTGAAAACGCTTCTTATTGCACACCTAGAGCCTAATTAGAATTTCCATGCAAATTCCTGGAAGTATAGATGATTTTATAAGTAGTATAGATGGAGAAAGTATTGTTTTTGTCAAAATTTTTGAGTTTCAGTTTTGAGTGGATATATCCAATTTGGGCCCCCCTGAGCCCAAAAAAGGGGTTTTGCAAAGTGATTTCTATGTGTATGTGTGGAGGTGTGTGTGTATGTAGGTGTATGTGTGTGTATCTGTTAGTTATGTACAGATCTACAGACCACAACTGTAGTCTCAATTTTGATTAAATTTGGTATGTAGGTACTAACTAATGTATGGTATCTCCAGATGTTTTTTTTTCATTTTTTTGAAATGTTGATTTTTAATGATGATTTTTTTTTAGAAATTACGGAAAAATTGGATTTGCTCAAATATGGTCTGAACGGTTTTGATAAAAATTTAGGATGTTATAGTCTTTTAAATTCTGAACATAATTGTACAAATCCTATTCCCGTAAAAATTACGGCTCAAAAGTTATTGTAACTTATGCTATTTTCCCATTACAAAAACCATAAAATAACAAGAAATCGGATTTTAGAAAAAAAGCAGATCGTGATTCAAATTAGAGTAGACTCCCTCTTATTCGGACTCCTCGGGACCGTGGGAACGGTTTTTCTGGTTTAATCGACATCCCCAAAAACTCGTTAAAACGGACCGTTTAAATGCATACTGTATACAGTATTTGATTTAAATTTAGGAGAGCATTGTATTTAGACACGTTATCACTGGTCTCAAATCTTTCCCACGAGAACAGTCGTTTCAGTACCGCCCACTTTAGGCCGATCTAATCGCATCGGTTTAACCAGATTACTAATCTGGTTAAACCGATGCGCTGATAAAATTTTTTTTTAAAGAGATGTCATTTCCGCCGAGTATTAGTCGGGTTAAAAGATGTCCGGATAAGAGGGAGTCTACTGTAGTATGTTATGGTCCTTTAAATTCTAAATAAAATGGTAAAAATCCTACTCCTTTAAAAATTACGGTTCAAAACTGTTGTAGGTAAAAATTATAATTTAATGAATGTAAGTATATAACACATCATCATAAATAATCAGAACCTTAGTATTTAAAAATACTTAATAATCAATTTAATTCATAGAAAATAAACAAAATATTGTCTTTTTCAGATGCTTGGATTTATTCTTACAGCCTTGTACGGTCTAGATGCATACCATGCTTACTGCCATTTTAAGGGATATGCATGATTTTAGGTGATGTAACAATTTTTTATAAAATCTTTTTTTATAAAAGTATAAAAACAAAGATAAAAAGTTTTTATTGTTCCTTTTACTTGTGTCAAGCTAGATTTAGTTGGATTCGTTGAAATGGGACTACAGTAACAATGTTCTGGTGAATTTTCCTTCTGAGAAGGTAGCTGCTGCTGTGGTGTCCAAGGTAAGACCTAGGACTAGGAGCCTCCAGAGTTTAGAATCATCATTGATTTCAGTTGCCATCGTTATATATAAAAATATTTGTGTCTATGAACATGATAAGGTTGTGAAAAAGTGTTGGTTTTGTTGAAATTAGGATTAAAAGTTTAACAGCACCTGTTCAAATGGGTTTGTGACCCAGTCCAATCTCCATCTTGTAGACAAAATTGTCACGATTCTTTTAAAATTTGAAATAGCTGCAACTTTAAACTGGGTTAAGACAAAGGCCAGTAATTAGTTTTATCCTTTATTTTTTTTTAAGATCTTAAGAACACTTACGTATCACTTCTGGCTTGTCTGCTTAAAAAAATTTGCAGCCGAGTCTAAAACACTGCAATTTGGGACAAAGGGTTAATTTAAGTAAATTTATATTGATTAACCCCTTAACCACCATTACTACAGTACATAAGTACATAAGTTGGCGCGCCGCTGTTTCGATGCGATCAGTGGCGCATGGTTTAATTACGCTCGCCGATGACCCAGCACGGGGTTTTTGCAATTTGTTGTGGTTTTTAAACATTTTGAGGAAACCTAGTTTACAACACATTTTAAAGCAATTAACTATGATAAATGTTATAATAAACATTGTAATAGTATCTATATATTAATATACGCAAGCAGGTTTCTTTTCACAGTCATAACTCGATAACGGTTTGACGGATTTTAACGTTTGAGGTGTCAAATTAAAGGTATTTTCACATAGATGTGCAAATACGTCTCAGAATATTAAGAAAGGGCATCACTTAAGTACAGTTAAGGGCTAAAGTTTGGAAGGTGGCGCTATCTGTTGACATTTGATCAAACTCATTTCCTTTTGTTTACAAATAACATATGGACGTAGTTTAGTTTAAAATAGTTTTTTAGGTTAACCACAGACTGCAGGACTTAAAACTTCCAGAGAAAAGCTGGGATTTATATTTTGTTTCAATCTGTTAACTAAGTCTGGTTCTGGTTCATAATGAAGAGTTTAAGAATAAATATTTAATAAATATTTTATTATTTTTTTCTATGGTTAAATTTATTCACCTTACATCGTATTTTACTGATTATCATGTTACAGTTCGATGTGATGAAGTGAATGTTTAAAAATGATTATTCGCAGGGCAGTTATCCATTACATTACCATATTATCACGTAATTTACAATGTGTATCAAAATTCCAATTGCTTTATAGTGTTTTCTGTTGATTGGTTAACTTCCTTATTTCATTTAAATTTAAAATCAAATGCCGCCAGTACGACGAAGAACTGTGAGTGGCTGGGGAGAACGCGAACTTGACCGCTTGCATCAACCTCTTAATTGAACATTTGGTGGCTACATAGTGGTAGTACCACCGTTGTGATAGTCTAATCTCGGACAAATGAACGTTAAATGTTTACATTGAAGTAGCTTACATATTTTTAAGCAAGAAAAGACTGGCCGAGACAGTTAAGTTTTTACTCTTTGTTGTCATCAATGAAAGGTTCGTTTACCTCATTTGTGCAATTCACAATACCTTCAGGATCTTATTGGAAAGTCCCAATCTGAAAATAGGGCTGTGAGACTTATATATAGAAGTTATTTGGATAAAGTTTGTCAATTCAATTCTGCCTTTACCATGGTCAGCTCCGAAGTTGCTCATTAAGACGAGAAAGTTCCACAGGGGATCTACAATTTTATGATCCGTGACACGTTTTACCACCGAGTGGGTCCTCTAATTCCTCAATAAGGTGATGATCCTGAATACGCACAGATATCTAAGTAAGTACAAAAACGTCACTAGAACCCAAAAGAGAATTAAGCACAATTCAAACAAAAAATGCAATGAAAAATATGCGGGAAATAGGGTCACAATGCCGACCCATTTGCAAATCTTTGAAGACTGGCAGACATTATGTAGGGACGAGAGCTCCGAGGAGTCAAGTGAGATTCTTATGTACATAATAAGAGACAGAAGACGTGTCTTCCCTCGCTACAATGGTGCTACATGTGTAGATGTTGCAGCAATTTTTAAAGCTGAAAACAAAGCACCACCTGGCCAAATAAATCGTATAGTTTTTCCAACACTAATAATGTTAAACGCGTATCCATTCTAGATCTGTCGTTGGATCCACTTGCTTACCCTCTTATGTTCCCAACCGGAGACTTGGGTCGGGAACCCTAATTTAAACACGCCTAAAACAGAACACATACAAGAAATAATTTAACAATGCTAGAATAAGAGTAGCGATGGTTGGCGTCAAGAGAGGAATTGAGCTACATTAGGTCAAAAGCTCACTTTACAGTGTGTGGTTGACATCTACGTGCTCATAGAGTGCACCCGCCTACTATACATAAGAGATAACCAAAGCAGTATGATAGTGAATGTAAATTTAAATATTTTAGATTACTTTTATATTTTTTACATCATAATATTTTTATATTTCTATAATCGGTCATATACATTATTTTAGAGCAACTCTTTTGATTAAGGTCTTGCTGTTTATGTTTTTTGTTTTTTTTACATACAAGTTTCAGTTTTGCTCGATTTCGAGCAACGTGTTATCTAGTTCATGTTAACGTAAATGATAATTAAATTTTTTTAATTTGCTAAATAATTAATAATAATAGGCTAATAAATAAATAATAAAATATTGTATTGATCATATTTACTTACGGCATTGCATATTAGCCAAAGCTTACAGGTTTTATTTTGTTGTCTGGTCACATGAGTCGATGTTTCAAGTAATAAATATTGAAGGAAAAAACACCATGTACAAAGGTTACTTTTCACTTTTTAGACATTATCATTTTCAAGATGAGCTCGTTCGCATCGCTCAATCACGTCCTGGTTGAAGTTTGTTTGCTACGCTTACTCACCTTTAGGTTGGAGCTCGTTCACTGCGCTCACTTGCCTTCAGGTTTAACTCGTTCGTAACGCTAAGTCGCCTCCAGGTTGAAGTTTGTTTGCTACGCTCACTCGCCTTTTAATTGCAAATTAGCTGTTGTCATAAATTTAAAAAAATAATAGTGATGCACCCTGTTGGTAAACCTATTAACTTTTTAATGCTATTTGAACATCACAGAATCAAATTGTTTAGTTGAACCAGCTGTTAAGATTCTTTAATTCCATTTAAATATAAGTACTCATAAGGTTAACATGGGAAACTTCAGAGCCACGGGGGTGAAGCCCTTTTTGGAGACGGATCTGCTCCAAACATCACACAAACCATCAATAATGCTTAATAATACCTGAAAGTTTCATTACAATCTCTCGAGCGGTTTCGGAGTCCATAACGTTCAAATATATATATAAATATACAAACTTCCTCTTTTATAAATATAGATGCAGGGTATGATATTCCCTGAAGCACGGCACTACGCACAAGGAAACCGCGCAGTCCTGGCACTGATACCTTGAATCCCGCCTGGCCGGTTCATTGCATGGACTGCAAACATAGAATTGATGTGAGGGATACTCTTTTTTCTGTTGAAGGAATACATGATGGAAAATGATGCTGTGTCAATCTCAGTGGTGTATCACTGGGGGAAGGACGAGCACCGTTTTTTTTACTGTGGGTCTGAGCTGCCATGTTTTCCTCTAAAAGTTGGCGAACTAGCTCTAAATGAAATTCTGCCAGTGTTGGTTTCTTGCCACTTACACATAGGTAGGCCTATATTGCATGAGAATTGAGTATTGCCAGATCCTTAAAATGTAAAAATAGTTTTTATACCACTTTTGGGTGCACCCAACACATGTAACATTGCTTAGCATCATATCGGTGTGATCTACAGAGGCCCATGCTATAGTTATATTCTTGTACACATTTTGGCTTCATAACCTTTTCTTTTGTTATGTAGTTAACTTTTCCGGAGTCAGCTACTTTTTCATAATGTTCTATTGTGATCATCATAAATTCCCTTTTATCTGCACACCTTACAACCATGCTTGTGCATTATAACTTCATTAACAACCTCCCGTTCGCCAGCTAGTAACTCTTTCTGAAATTCAGGCATACCTATTCTCTCCCATCTTACTGTACCACAAGCATTGGTTTTGTTCAAATGAAAAAAAACATTAAAAGATCAGGACTACTATACCAATTATCAATGTACAAACAATCATCTCATCACAACAAAAACAACTATTTTTTTGAATCATCATACATTGAGATTTTTACTAAAAAAATTATTGATGAGCGGAGCGAGCAAAGCTCTTATACGCCGACTCTTGTGCATTTCGTAATACGCAAACTCCTCCTAGACGGCTGAATCAATCTTTTACAAATGTTGCATGGTGATAAACACGATATTGGTGAATGCCAAAATCTATATGGCGTTAAAAAAGTCTCTCAGGAATCTGCCCCACTGGGTCTCAAAGTTTCAATGTAATCCTGATGGAAGCAGTATTTGAGTATTTTAGTGCACATAAACAAAGACATATGAGCTGTTGACTTTTGAATGCAGTAGATAAAGAAATAGCTAATAGCATTATTCCACAGATATTAGAACAGAAACGGTATGGATCATAAATATAATCAAATGACGACACTAGCTAGAGGTCCGTGACATAGGTGAAGGAGGTAGTAAAGGTGAGCAGTCTGGAGTTTGGAAACTGTTTATGACGATTAGATTTAGGTAGGTATCTGCATTCCTAAATTTCTATGGGAAGGGAGAAAAACGGGTCCCCGACGTAGGAAGTAGTCAAGGCGAGCTGTCCGGAGTTTAGGAACTGTTTATAACGATTAGATTAAGGTATCTGCAATCCTAAAATGCTATGGAAAGGGAGGGAAACAGGTCCGTGACGTAGGGAAGTGGTGAAGGAAGTAGTAAATGCGAGCAGTCTGGAGTGTGGGAACTTTTTATGACAGTTAGATTAAGGGATCTGCAA